TATCTGCGCCGGCGGGAGCGGGATGAGCCGGGAGCGGCCGAGCCAGGGGGCAAGGGGGAAGGCCAGGCACCCACTCTGTGTGTGTGTGTGTGTGTGTGGGGATGGCATCTGCATCCCAAAATTTGGGGTGACGCTCGTGGAGGGTCAAAAATAGGAGAGAGGGGATGCTCCCCGCTGTGCCACAGTGGGAAAACTGGACCTGGTTTGCCCTCTGGAAAACAGGGATGAAGCCCCGGGGCTGTGGGGGCTCCAGTCTTGGAGCAGACGGGGCTGAGTCACTGGTGCCCCACGGCCCCAGCGCTTTCCCATGGCTTGGGACTCGTGGGGCTGGATTTTCCTGGCCTGTCCGGCTCTCCTGGCTGCAGAGCTGCCCTGTGGTGCCATCCCAGCCGGTTTCACCTCCGTGGGCATCGTTTCAGGGCTCTGGAACCGCCCCGGAGCCACATCTTCATTGTGGGGGGCTGCTGGGATCTGGGAGAATCCCTGCCTGCAGTTTGGGATGGGGCTCCATCTGGAGATGCCACCTGATGGTGCCCCCAGCCCACGTGTGACCTTCCCCTTGCACAACCACCACTCTGCCAGGGATTTGTCCCACGGGAGAGCAGGATCAGGGCTGGGATCAGGGCTCTGAGCTGTCCCTGCCACCTCCAGGCAGGGGCTTGGCCACATTTCCCTCCATCCATCCATCCTTGTGCAACACGTCCCGGGTACCTGGCAAGGCAGGAGGCGATGGGAAGAGCTGCACGCACACACAGGGAGAGGGAGAATCCAGGCAAAACGCCTCCCAACCCCCCGGGAATGTCCCGCAGAGCAAGAGGCCCCGAGAGCCACTTCGCAGTTTCGAGTGCTGCTGTCCCCCTGCTCCCGAATACCAGAGATTCCAGCCCTAAGCCCAGACCTTCGAGGCAGGATTAGCCGGTGCCCTCCGGCTGCTCCCGCTCCGGCCAGGGACGGCCAAAGCTCCTGAGAAAGAGAGAAGGAAAGAAAAGCCTCCCTGGGGAATTTCCTTTTTCTTTTCTTCCCCCTTTTTCTCCCCCTGGTTGGAAGGGAGCACTGACAGCGGTTGGTGGCTGTGGGGTAATTACAAGTCCTGGCTTCCACCCTGTTTGTCCCCAGGCCCTCCCCAGTCTGGCGCTGCAGGAGGACCCGGTTTGGTCGGGACACTGCGGAGGAGGAGGAGGCTTCCCCCTGGCTCTCTCCACGGAGGCTCGGTCTTTCTTCCCTCTTTCTCTCTGGATTCTTGCTGACAGCAGCATCTGTCATCTGACAATACCTCCAGCAGCCACAGAAAGTGCCCGGGGCCCTTTGCTGAGCACGTGGCCTGTGGCCACTGGGCCACTGAGCCCCCTCACATGCCAGGAGGGCACCCAGTGACCCTTTGGCCACCGGGGATGGGAATTAAAGCTCAGAGGAGACAATCCCCTGCGCTTCCCTCCCGCGGTGCCAAGCAGCTCTGCTCCAGGAATAGGTTTATCCTGCCCCTGACCTCACCGTGGCTCTGCCCATGGCCACGAGCTGTGCCAGGGCAGCGAAGGGAGGGGATTTTGGGGGCTGGCAAAATCCCTCAGCACGACTGTGGCACGGCTGGGCTTCATCCCTCCGGCCAGCCGTGGTGGCCTCGGGGTGTCCCCAGTGTGGCACGGCAGGGCTGAGTCCTATCCCATCCATCCTGGCTGCAAATCCCTCATGGAACCTCCTTGATGAACCGTGGGATCACCGCTCCAGCCCTTCCCTCACCGAGGGGGGAGACAGGACTTTCTCTCCGGCATCCAGCTGGGAGCTCACTCCCAAAACCAGCCATGAAACACCCCCGGGCCGGGGCCCAGCCCCCGGTCTGCCGTGTCCGTGTGTCCCGCCGAGGCGCTGGGAGGTGGCGGGATGGAGGAGGGATGGAGGAGGGCGGCAGCTGCCGCAACCCCCCGCGCCGCTCCAGCTGTTTCCAGCTGTTTCCTTGTCTCCCTTTCCCTCCCTGGGGCTCTGCAGCACAATGCGGCCCCGCAGCAGCCCCAGATGAACCCGGGTTGGTTTTTATAATGATGTGCTAAGAGCTGTCTGTACTTTCTCCCTGCCCCAGTTCGTGCCGCTGGCTCCTCCAGGTCTCAGTGAATCCCTGCTCCCTCCCTTGGATTCCTGCTTCCCGCCTGGAATCCCTCTTCCCTCCTCAACTCCCTGCTCCCTCTCTTCAATCCCTGCTCCCCTCCCTCCCTGCCTTATATTTTAAACAGTGAGGTACCACTTTTTAGCAAAAATAGATTTTTTTTTTTGGAGGGGGGAAGAATGAAAAAAAAAGGATCAGTCCCATTTTCCGGTGGTGGAAGGCAAGGAATGATTTCCAGCTTCCTCCTTAAAACAGGCAGTTTGTGGCACCCCCAAAGCCATGGCACACACGCTTTTGGGAGGCTGAGATTAATCAGATCCATGTTTAACACCACATGGAGCCAGAGCATGAGTTCTTTGATCCGAAACCCAGAGCAGGGCTGGGCTGTGGCTGTCACCCCAAAAGCGGGGTGCAGGGAAAGCTGTGAGCAGCGGGACCCCCCATTAACAAGGCGCCCCGGGCCACCCCCTTGGATTCACGAGCACCAGGACCACCCATTAGTGGGGAGAGCTCTGGGACTCCCCATTAATAGGGTGCACTGTGCCATTCCCGGGCCTGTGAGCATCAGGACCCCCATAATGGGGTGCA